GCTAAGAAGTATTCTGTGGAATAAATGTACCCACAGTTTCTTTATACATTTCTCTTTCAATGGTTATCTGGGTTGTTTCCCTGTCTTAACTATTGTGGATTGTTCTGCAACAAATATAGTGCTGCAAGTCATTTTCTCATATGCAGATTTCACTTCCTCCAGATATATCCCCAAGAGTCGGACAGCTGGTCAGACAACAGATCAATTTTCAGTATGGACCCTGTCCATACTGACTTCCACAGTGACTGCTCTAGTCTATACTGCCACCAAAGTGCAATAGGGTACCTTTCTCCCCCACTTCCTCATTGTTAGTAGATTTCTGAATGCAGGACAATCTCACTGGAGTTATGTGTAACTTCAATGTGGTTTTTATTTGTGTTTTCCTAATAGCTAGGAATTTGAGCATCTTTTTCATCTGTCCATTAGCTACTGGAATTTGTTCTTTTGAAAAAGGCCTGCTCGTTTCCTTCACCCATTTCTTAACAGAGTTGCCTGTTTTGTTGTTGAGTTTTTGAAGTCCTTCTAAATCCTGGCTGTTAGTCCCTTTTCTGTTGTGTAATACGCAAAGATTTTCTCCCTTACTGTTGGTTACCTTTGCACTTAGTTGATCATTTGCTTTGCTGTATAGAAGCTTCTTCATTTGATATAGTCCCATTTGTTTATTTTGACTTTGATTGCCTGTGCTTTTGCTGACTTTCATTTTTTAAAGAAATTTATTCAGTTTTATTGGAAAGGCAGACCTACAGACAGAAGAAGAGACAGAGAGAAAGATCTTCTATTTGCTGACTCACTCCCCAAGTGGCCACAATGACCTGGCCTGAGCTGGTCCGAAGCCAAGAGCCAGGAGCTCCTACAAGGTCTTCCATGCTGGTGCAGAGTCCCAAGGCTTTGGGCGACCATCCATTGCTTTCCCAGGCCACAATCATGGAACTGGATGGCAAGTGGAGCAGCTGGAACACAAACCTGTGCCCATGTGTACCCCAGTATGCACAAGGAGAGTTTTTAGCCACTGAGCCATCACACTGCACCTTTGATGACTTTTCTAAGAAGTCTTTATCAAGATCAGTATCTTGTAGAGTACTTCTTATGTTTTCTTCTAGTAGTTTGACAGTATCCAGATGCAGTTTTAGGGCCTTGCTCCATTTACAGCTGATTTTTGTTTAAGGTGACAGGTGGAGGTGTTGTTTCTTCTGCAGGGTGCTGTTCATTCGTCACAACAGCGTTTGTTGAAGAGACCAAAATTTTTGCTGGATTATTTTCAGTGCTCTTGTTCAAGATTAGTTGACTGTGTGTGTATGGACTCATTTCTGGGGTTTATATTCTGTTCCACTGATCTTCTCTCTTTCTGTACCAATTCCAGAATATTTGATTAATACTACCCTGTGGTACAACTTGAGGTCTGGAACTGTGATTCTTCCAGCTTTATTTTTATTCTTCAGAATAACTAGCTATTCGTGGTCTCCTGTGTTTCCAGATGAATTTTTGCATCCCCTTTTGCAGCTCTAAGAATGTTGTTGGGAATCTGATTAGGATCAAATTGAATCTTTATATTACTTTAGATAATATGGACATTCTAATTATGTTGATTCTATACATCCAGGAACATACTAAATTTCTCCATCTGTTAAGGTCTTCTTCTATTACTTTTTAAAAATGTTTTGTACCTTTCATCATAGAGCTTTTCCATCTTTGCTGGGTTTATTTCGAGGTATTTAGCATTCTTCTCCATTATTCTAAAATGGACTGAATTGACAAATTATTTCTCAGCCACAAAGTCACTTGTTAATTCCAGGTCATCAATTTATGTTCATTGATGTTGTATCCTGCCACTAGGTCAAATTCTCTTATGAGCTCCATAGACTTCATGATTGAGCCTTTTGGTTCTCATATGTTTATGAATCAATCATGTGAATCATGTCATCTGCAAATAGGGATAACTTTAATTCATTTCCAATTTAAATTTCTTTATTTTCTTTTTCTGATAATAGCTCTAGCTAGGACTTTCAATGCTATGTTAAATAGCAGTGGTAGAAGTGCAAACCCTCGTACAGTTCCAGACCTTAGTGGAAAAGTTTCTAGTCTTTCCCCATTTAGTATAGTGCTGGCATTAGGTTTTTCATGTATTTCATCAATTGTATTGTAGAATTTTCCTTCTATGCCTACCTTGCTTAGGTTTTTCACCATGTAGGGGTATTGGATTTTATCAAATGCCTTCTAAGTATCTATTGAGATGATCATAGAGCTTTTATTCTTCATTATGTTGCTATGGTTTATCACACATTTTGTGTAGGTTAAATAATCCTTGTGTGCCAGAGATGAATCCCACCTAGTCTGAGTGAATGATCTGCCTCACATAGTGTTGGATTATGTTGGCTAATACTTTGTTGAGAACTTTTGCATCTACATTCATTAGGAATATCAGTCATAAGTTTTCTTTGTTGTGTCTCTATCTGGCTTTGATATTAAGGTGATATTTGCTTCATAGAAAGAATTTGGAAGGATTGCTTTCGTATTGTTTTGAGTAGCTTGTGGAGGATTGGAATATTTGCTTCTAGACATGTTGGTTAGAATTCAGCAGTGAAACCACTCAGTCCTGGTTATAAGTCTACTTGGATTTTTTATTGCCTCATGACTCAGATTTGGTAAACTTGATGTGTTCAGAAATCCCTCCATTGCTTCCAGATTCTTTATTTGTCGATCTGTTGTTGCTTGAAATAGTTCTTGATCATCCTATGACTGGGGTACCTATTGTTCTATTTCCTTTTTTGTCTCTGATTTCTAGAGATTCATCTATTATCCCTCCTTTATATTGATTAGTTGGACTAGTGGAAAATCTAGTTTGTTGATTTTCTAAAAGAATCAGCTTTCTGATTTATTAATCCTTTTTAAGATTTATTTGTTTGTTTGTTTGTTTGTTTATTTATTTATTTGAAGAGGAGAGACAGAGAGGAAGATCTTTCATCTGCTGATTCATTCCCCACAATGAATGGCCACAATGGCCAGAGCTGAGCTGATCTGAAACCAGGAGCCAGGAGCTCCTCCAAGTCTCCTGCACGGGTGCAGGGTCCCAAGGTTTTGGGCCATCCTCGACTGCTTTCCCAGGCCACAAGCAGAGAGCTGGATAGGAAACAGGGCTGCCAATATTAAAACCAATGCCCATATGGGATCCTGGCGCATGCAAGGCAAGGGCTTTAACCAACACACTACTGCACCAAGCCATCCTTTCACTTTCAGTATCTACATGTCTTTATTATTGACACGTGTCTAACTGTAGATAACTGATGTATGGGTTTTGTTTTGTTTTTTTATACAGTCCACTCATCTATCTCTTTTCATTGGTAAATTTAAATCTTTCGTATTCAGGGTATATTGGTAGGTGGTAATTTGGTCTTGTCCTTTTAGCATCAGTTTCTTTCTTATTGCTTGATCTTGGATCTGGAGGGAGCAGACAAGACTTTACCTTTCAAGAATTGTGTTTACGTATCCTAACATCTGGCAGTTAGCTGAAGGTCAGATGGTACAAGGTTCTTGCCTTTGTTTTGTTCAACTCAAAATGAACCTAAAGCAGAAAAGTGGCAAGTATTCTTTGAGAACATTTAAAACAAACCAATAGCCTTCTGCTACCTGAAGCAAATAATTACTATCTACTTACCACCTATATTGCCTAAGTCTCATTCTTGGAACATCAAATACCAAATGATGAGACCTTGTTAGCTTAGTCCCTTATTGAATTTTTTTCATAGAACTGCTGTAACATAATCTTGGCATTTGACAAGCCCTTAACAAAACAACATTCAAGAAAAAGTCTACCACATTTATTGTGAAATCGTAATGATGACTTCCACCATGATGTTCAATATTTTCTTTTTTGCAATTTATTTATTTTTGTTGGAAAGGCAGATTTAAAGAGAGGGAAGGAGAGACAGAGAGAAAGATCTTTCATCCACTGAATCAATCCCTAAAGTAGCCACAACAACTGGAGCAGAGTCAATCCCAGGCCAGGAGCCAGGAACTTTCTCTGGGTCCTCCGTGTAGATTCATGGTCCCAAGGCTTTGGGCCATCCCTGACTGCTTTCCCAGACCACAAGCACGAAACTGAATGGGAGGTAAAGCACCCAGGACACAAACCAGCATCCACACAGGATCACAGCAGATGCAAAATGAGGATTTAGCCATGGAACCGCCAACCAAACCCTGATCAATATTTTCTAAGAAAATATTTGTAAGAAAATGTCCTCTCGAAATTTGCAGTGGTTTTTCTGATGTGTATAAACAGTGTATATTTTACCTTAAGGACCTAAACTCAGAAAACTAAAAATGAGCAGTATGTTTAAAGTTATTAAACTTTATATTTAAAACATTCACTGTTTTACTGTCACACTTGATGTATGTTTTGTTAACATTACTGCATGCACATATATTTTTTAATCTCAAGATACGCATGAACATGAAGGTACTTTTAAGTTTAGGTTAATGCAAACAGTTTTGGAAACCTATATATCTTTTTTCATCTTAATACTCACGGACATCTCAATTTTTTTTAAAGATTTATTTTTATTATGTTTTTATTGGAAAGGCGGATATACAGAGAGGAGAGACAGAGAGGAAGATCTTCCTCCCCAGGATTCACTCCCCAAGTGAGTGCAACGGCCGACGCTATGCCGATCCGAAGCCAGGAGCCTCTTCCAGGTCTCCCACACGGGTGCAGGGTCCCAAAGCTTTGGGCCGTCCTCGACTGCTTTCCCGGGTCACAGGCAGGGAGCTGGAAGGGAAGCGAGGCTGCCGGGATAGAACCGGTGCCCATATGGGATCCCAGGCGTGCAAGGCGAGGACCTTAACCACTTGCGCCACAGCGCCGGGCCCGACATCTCAATTTTTTTAACCAAAATGAACTTTCAAATCTATTTTCCACAAACCTTTTGAAATATCTTCATATACATAAATATACACACATACAAAGTTATGAATACATAGATTAATATTAATAAAGAACACATTCCTTATGAAGCGATTTTTCTCCTTAATAGTTTCATGAGTGCATTTTTGACCTCCTGATTCCTCAGACTATAAATGAGTGGATTCAGCATGGGGATTACAGTGGTATAAAACACGGAAGACACCTTCTCCTGGACTACTGAACTTCTGGAAGCAGGTTTGAGATACATGGACATGAGAGACCCGTAAAATATAAGAACAGCCATCAAGTGCGAGCTGCAGGTGCTAAAGGCTTTGGACCTGCCCTCTTTGGAGCGGATGCGGACAATGCTGTTGAGGATAAAAGCATAAGAAATGATGATTGTCAGGCTAGTCGCCACCATGTTAAACCCACCGATGACAAAAATCAGAAGTTCATCAATATTAGTGCTGGAACAAGACAGTTTAATAAGGGGAACAATGTCACAGAAGTAATGTTTAATGATGTTTGACCCACAGAAAGACAATCTTAATATACAGCCACCATGAATCATAGCATCTGTGAAACCTACTGAGAAGACAGCAGCCACCAGCAGACAGCAGGTCCGCAGGGACATGATGCTGTGGTAGAGCAGTGGGTGGCAGATGGCGACGTAGCGATCGTAGGCCATGGCTGCCAGCATGTAGCACTCAGAAATGACAAAAATGCAGAAGCAAAACAGCTGAGCCATGCATCCAGAGAAGGAGATGACCCTATCTCCATATAAAAACCCAGCCAGCATTTTGGGAGTAATAACAGAAGAATAGCAGAAATCTAAAAGAGACAAACTACTGAGAAGATAGTACATGGGTGTGTGGAGTTGAGAGTTCCACCTAATAATGGCAACCATGCCCAGGTTTCCCACTGTAGTAGCCACATAAATCCCTAGAAAGAGATAGAAAAGGGGCAGTTGAAGCTCTGGCTGCTCAGTGAGTCCTGAAAGAAGAAACTCGGTCACTGTGGAATAGTTCATTACATCCATTCTCCTCTGAGAAACCTGTGAAGGGGAGAGGAGAGCCACATTAGACAGGCAGAAAGAAGCCCAACTTGTCCCCAGTTCCCCAGAGCCAAGATATTTCCAGTTGCATGATGAAAACCCAGATGCCAGCACTCAGCAGAAAAAAGAGCGAGCAAGCATCTCTTTCCCCTGGATTTTTATCCCATCAGCACTCTTTCTTAGGCTCTCCAGCTTCTCAGATTCCTTCAACCAAGGACCAAGTCCTTCATTCCAAAATGAGAGACAAAGATGAACACTGGAGACCAAGATCATGTCAGTAGAGGGGCAGTTCTAAAACAAATCAGTTTAAGACGTACATACAGACCAGGCTGCAGGGGAAGACAGTTTTCTTAATGGCACATCTACCCAGGCTGACCCTGTCTCGAGAACTTTCAGCAGACACATCAGCTTTGTCAAGGTTTCCAAAGGGTTCCACATAATTTAATTCTGGGGACATGTTCACGGGTCTTATATGAAATAAGTAGCCAAACATTGTATAATTTACAGGGTTAACTTAAGCAAAGGACAGCCCAATCTTCTCTAGGACACACAACCCTCTTTCCAACCTTGTATGACGACAGACCTTCTTCACATTTATTTTGAAAACATGCTGCAGCACTGATGGACCAGAGCACACTTGGGGAAGCCGTCTGCGTTTGTGGGAACGTTCTACTTTCCATCCAAGTTGATGTCCATGCGGGAAGTTCATTCTTCTTACGGTTCAGTGCGTTTGGGTGTTGCTGTAACCGCAAGCCTCTTTACATCTTCTCAAGTTCTGGCCACGCTCTGGACTCAGCCTATCTCTCACCAAGGCAGTGAGGATTTCAGCATGCTCTCCTGCTGCCATTACTGAAGTGTCAACCACCCAGATGATGGTATCCACATGGACACTCCCACATGACATTTCCTGTCTATGCACAAACTTCTCTTCAGGAGGGGGCAAAGATATCATACATCTTGCAGCTGCCTGTTCTGGGATCTACCATGTCCCTGCTTTGAAAAATCTAACCATTTCTCTAATGTTGATCAGCTCACAAAGCCCTCTCCACATTCTCACATGTACCCAGAGATCCTACAGGGCTTGCTCAGATATCTCAATCAGCATTTTTTCTGGTTGCCAGGAGTTCAGAACCTGCCTCACTCCTTCTCTTCAAGAAGTTGATTGAATCATTTTTGCCCCTAGACATTGTTGCCCTTTTAGGGCAAGGTACACTTCCTTTGGCAATTTGGGTTCCCAAGGATGAAAGTGGTTCTTCCTTGTTTCCTAGATTCTTCTCGTAGTTTAAAACAAAGATTCACAACACTGAAAATCTGCTCTCTGATTTCAAAATTCTATAGAATATATTGTCAGGCATGGGGGAACTTGTTCTTTTGTCGTCTTCAGGGATAGAAATGGGGAGCCCTATGCAAAACAGGGGGTCCAAATGCCCTTTGCCTGTTACCAAACACCTTAGAATCTTTCTTTCTTGTCACCTCTTACCAACTAGCACTCAGATAGTTAGAACCTACACAAGTAAGGAAGGAATGTTGGAAGAGATATACACCCAGTTTTCTGCTTTTATCTCATGAGTTTTTCCATATATCCTTTTTACCTGCCCTAAATTTCACAAATACACAAACAAAACTCAAAATGTATTTAATCTTCCCACATTCCCCTATTCCAACCGGGCATTCCATCAAAGTAAAATGTCTTCTACCTTGCTGGTGTCCTTTGTTTTATTCCAGTGTCCTTCTCTGATGGTCTTTTCAGATACATCTCTCACATATGTTGTACTTCATCGAGCATTTCTGGCTTGGTTCTTGCTAGGCTGCCTGATATGGAGCCCAGCAGTGGCAGTAGCTCTTGGGAGCTTATTAGAAAAGCAGAGCTCCAAACCCTACCCGCACCCCTATGGAATCGGGATCTGCGTTTTAACAAGATCCCCACAGAGCTTAAGCACACATCGAAGTTTCAGAGGTACTATGAAATCTGCTTTCTTGTGTTTTCCTTCTCTACCTCTTTTTTCCCTCTATGTCAGAAAGCATGCATGTTCAAGTGAACCTGATCTCCACATGCATTTTCTCAAGGAAAGCTTTCCTAAATAAAAGATAGAAACTCTACAATTTCATACATCAGTATTTTTCCATCTATATGTGGATGCAGCAGGTCTATAGCGGTGTCATATATATGCCAAACAGCTTGTTATGGAAAATTCTAGTATGCTTTGTGTCTGGATGAAGAACATGCAAACTATGTCTTGCTACACACAAAAATTAGAAATAATAAACTAGCGACAACTATAGCTACTCCACTAATAAGAGGGGTGGAACTTTGTTAGGCTTTTTGTCTGAGCACCCGCTAGAATAACCCACTGCAGTGACTCATGAATCCCGTGTACTAACAGTTGTCAAGGCATTAAGATGAGAAAAAGAAAGGAAGGGAAGGAAGGAGGGAGGGGAAAAAGGGAGAGAAGAGGAAAAAGTATTATTGTATTTTTGCAGTCGTATCAATAGAACTCATGAAATCTGTTCCCTATATGTTAATAGATTTTAAAGTTATTAAAAATACATAGAAAAATGACTTTTTTAAAGTTTGAGTGAACCCCCTAGTATTAGTATTACTATTGAAGACAGTTCTAACCCCAACTTTATGGCTTCTAATATGTGAGTCATCCAAGTTTCTCTATCATATTTCAGCCCATAAATACAATAATTGTTTCAAAGGATCATGCAAATCAGATGAGACCACTTTGTGCCTTACAGTTCATGCATTCAAATGTCCATGTGAATATATTTAAACTTGGAGATTTCATAGATTCATTCACAGAATAGCACCAGTCTACTAACCAAGAGAAGCAGTCAGTACATAGTGAGGCTTGCGTGGGGGTACAGGGTCTCTTCCATCCACTCTCATGTGTCAGTGACCTGCAGACACTCGGAAACCGAAGGGTTCCTGTGCACCTTGGCAACTGATTCCAGAGTAAGCCGCAACATCTACATAAGGTGAACACGATAATTCCAAAACTCACCCTCTTCCTCCTAAGGTCTACAAGGGAGTTTCTCTGCTTTCTCCATGCCTTCCTCACGGCTGAATGCAGAGAAGTGAGCTACCACCTTCTTCCTTAACTTTAAACAACACAGCTAATGGAACTTTAATTCCCAGTCCTAGTATTTCATGTCTAGAAATAGACCAGTAATCCCAAGGGTTGCTTACCTCCTGAGCTCTGTTGTTAGAATATTTGTAAGAATTCTCCCCCAAGCTGTCCTATACTTCAGGGTATCTACAATAGAATAGGCACACCAAGAGAGAATTCAGAACAGCCTCTTTGGAAATTTGTCATTTAGTGGAACTGATGTATTTACTGCTAAATAATTGAAAAAACATGTACAGCACTGGGCACTTATCACAAGAAGGAGGCATGATCTTGGGGTCACTGCTTTGGCATTGTAAGTTAAGCCTCTGCCTGTGGTGTCAGCATCTCATATGAGCACCGGTTCAAGTCCCAGATGCTCCACCTTTGATTCAGCTCTCTGCTAATGTTCTTGAGAATGCAGCAGAGGATGACTCAAATCTTTGGGCCCACACATCCACGTAGAAGACCTAGAAGACGCCCATGGCTACTGGCTTGAGACAAACCGAGCGCCAGCCAAGAGAAACAGCAAATGGAAGATTCTTTCCCTCTCTCTGTCTTTCCCTTCCTCCCCCTTTTTCTCATCCTGCTTTTCAAACAAATAAATAAACCTTTGAACAATTATAATGTGAAAAGCTGAAGAAAAGTGGGTTGACAAGGGAGAACTTTCATTTACTAGATAACTCAAAAAATAGATGAATTTTTAAGAGAAATCAATCATAAAAAATAAAGTCTATGATATTATAAAAGCAAACACTACTGCTATATTTTGCCTATATTTAAAATCAAACAGTATACATAATCACATGTTCTACTTGTCCTAGAAAGTTTATCGCCTAGAAATCCACTGGAATTAAATTTAAAAATTCAACCATAGTCTACATACCTCTTAGTAGTGTGTGAATTATATATATTATGAATATTTTTAAATAATTAATAAAAGAGCATTTGGCAAAAGTAATATCAGCCTGTTGTGATTTTGTCTATCACTACCTCATCGTTAAAGTCTCTTACTTTGGAAATAAAAGTTAAAATTATTTATAACTTTACATAAAGTCAAATGAAGAAATGCATCCCAAAGACAAAGGGAAAGGTGCAGATTGGCATAGTTCCTTTTCGCTAGTATGGATAAATCAAAGTTGACTTAGCTAGAGTAATGTTTTTATAGGTAAACCAGAAACTCCTCCCAAAATATAGAGAGAAATCTTAGCTCCAAAATAAGAAAAGTACAAAGTGAGAGGGGCTGAAATTGTTTTGTGTTGTTGCTATCTTTTTGTGCTGCTTCAACCTTTTTATGCTTTATTTACACTCCTTGGAGCTTTAAATTGGGGTGTTCAGATTTAGGTAGAACCACATGACCCATTTGACTCCTCCAGTCTCTCCATCACTATCTTAATCCTTGGAAAACAAACTTCCACTCACTATGGCAATTCAGTGCTGCACTCTCCAGCAGCAGCGGACGCCTCAGCTGACACCTCAGCCCGGACGGAGCCAAGCAGAGGTGACGACACACCGCTTACGTTGATGTCTTTGCTGATTGTTATACGTAAGAAATACAAAGTCTTAGCAAGATTTATATTAAAACCAAATTTTTGTCTTTAGTTTAGACCACTCAGAATGGTTGCAACCTCTTTGGCTGGTCAAATTGGTCAAATCATAGTTTTTCTTCATTTGAAATTTTCAAGAATCCTAAATTTTGATGAAAATAGATTTAGAAACAGCCACACTATATTACTTGTGTCCAAAATGCTCTGCAAATTGCACACCCTCCATAGGCACACACACACACACACACACACACGGAGCGAAGAGGCAAAAGGAATTGATATTTGCTGAGGACTGATCCAGATATTCTGTGAAAGTATTCTGTTTTTA